GAAATTTAATGGTATATTTAAAATTACATTGTTACAAGCAAGACATCTAAATTACAGATAGAGTAACATCTAAATTGTATCTAAATTACAGCACGGATAGGAACAATGACATCCAGATATACTATTAAATTCCATTGTTAATTATGTAAAATGATGACATCTAAATTGATACATTTCTTTTTATTGACTTCACAAAGAAGAGTTGATCAACAGTGCATTTGTAAAATTCAATCTTTTACATAAAATCATCAAACTTTTAATGTCATCGGTGAAAGGCTTATTTACAAACATAAAAGCAGTTATTAACCACGTAGACTTGAGCTTGTTTTCCAGCTATAATAAATCTTAAGCTAAATCATACAGGCATCTTCCTCTGAATCTCTATAAAAGAAAGAAAGCATAACATCCACTTATATGCACAAGAAAAAATTTTTCTACAGCTATGATTTGCTGTAGAAAGAAAATAGAACTGAAAACATGATCAAATCTGGATCATTACCACCATAAAAGATTTAAATGAGAATTCAGAGTTGCTTGCATTCATTTGCTTATTTCCTATTTTTTTAGTTCATTTTTGACATAAAGCACACACGATTTTTCAATAGACAATCATATCCCAATCTCAGGCATGCTAGAAAAAAAATTTTGAGGCAATATGAGACACAGATTTGAAAGATTACTCATGCCTCCTTGCAAAAAATCACCAGAAACATATTGTTCCCCAACATATCTCATATATTATGTATTGAAAGTGATAAAAGTAGCTCAGATATCTCGGTAGCACATCAGTTTGAGAAAAAAATTCAATCATGGAAAACAAAAACTTAATGCTTCTTGATGTCTTAAAAATTTTATTAAATATATCAATACTCTTTATCATTTTCTAAAACATACAAAAAATTAAGAGAATCCAAATTTCTAACTTTTTTAATGCTTCTAAAAGTTTCAGATTTGTAATTTTAACAAATAAATGTCATATAGTTCCAGGAACCATAAAAATGACAGCTCTTTCTCCGCAAATCAGAAACATATTTCTAGAGAAATAAACTTTGTCAAATAAGTTCTTCCAATATCATACATAATAAATATTTAAGCTAAATCATACACGTAGACTTGAGCTTGTTTTCCTGGTATAATAAATCTTTATGCTAAATCATACAGGCATCTTCCTCCGAATCTCTATAAAAGAAAGAAATCCTAACATCCACTTATATGCACAAGATAAAATTTTTCTACAGTTATGATTTGCTTAAGATAAAATTCTTCTACATCCATAATGATATGTTTCATCATCAGCCTAAAACTCATAAATGAAAGATTTTCTAAATAAAATATCCAAATAAGTTCTTCCAATATCACTTATATGCACAAGATAAAATTCTTCTACAGTTATGATTTGCTTAAGATAAAATTCTTCTACAGTCATGATGCCCACATCTTTTACAGAAATTCACTCCATGAAGGCATTGTTGCCGCATCGATTGACTCCGTCATCATGGCAATGAAGGATTCTCTATTCCGTGGAGCAAAAGAATTCTGCAATGGATAACAATGTATTAGATAAAACTTGAAACCACCCTAAACAACATATGAAATCGAACAAATCACCATTAAATTTGAACGCGTGTTAGGAAATCAAGAAGTGAGCACATGGGTTGATGACACTGTGATGATTTTGGTTCTTCGGTTGTTGAAACATTTTTTTTGTTTTCCTATATATATAATATTTATGGCTGAAAATTAATGGTCTGTTGAAACATAAGAAAAAGGGTTAGAGTTTTCGAATATACTTTTGGATCTTTTATTTTTCTCCCAGTACCCTTTTAGTCTCGTGTTAGATATACCTTTCAGCCGCATTTTAGCAGGATCATTCAAATTTGATTCATTGTTGACAGGCTTTTTATTTTTATTTTTTTGCTCCTACCTCTAAAACCTTTATCAACCAGCATGTCATCAATATCCAATGACAGTTTCTTCATTGACTCCCTCATGTGCTGCTCAGCTTTTGGATTTCCCTTTGCTTTTTGGGTGCACTAATAAGCTGCTTTTTGCATGTGTGCTTTGGAAATTAGGTCGCCTTTAATATCATGCGAGGATTGTGACTGTTGCAGATGCATGTATTCAGAACTGTTATACAAATCTCTTTTTGCATTTTCAGACCATCTCAATAATAAATATTTAACAGGTATCTTCTTAATATGTAGAAAGTTTAGGACTCTAAGAGAGTGTGAACATAGTAGCCCCATCATTTCGAACTTCCTGCAGCTGCACTTTATACACTTTAACAATCCAGGGTCTGGCTCTGTCCTTATTATCAAGAGTTCGGATATGAAATTTTGAATCCATAGTATTGGAGCACTCCATAGCAAGCCCACACAAATCATGTAGAAACTGTGCTTTAAACATTGAGTATAACTTCCTTGTGTAAAGTGTAGAAACTCGTCTCAACAATGGACTGCTTTTAACGATGGGAGAAATTGCAGACTATTGGCATTTAAATTCTTTATTCTTTTCATTTCTTCTCCAATCCTTAATGACATTTTCAAGACCCCAAAAACATTCGGTCAGGGTGCTTGTTGCCCTAGAGACATCATGGCAAATTTTATTCATGGACTCACTTGTTTGCGTTGATAGGATCTCCATTCCAAAAATTTCTTTGTTGAATGCAGTTGACCACCTATGCCTGATATTATACAATTCATCCAACCAAACATTCTCATGTAGGTTTCCTTTCTCGATCATTTCACCCTAAGTTTCTTCAAACTCCTCGTCAGAGTTGCATTTTCTCAAGCATTTATAAAAAAGATTACTGACAATCCTACTCAGCACGCTGCAATGAACCTTTACAGGCAATTTCTTGTATATGTGCCACTGACAAAATCTATGTCGTGTATTTGGCATATTTGGCAAAATTTTTGTTATTGCTCTAGCCATAGCCTGATCTTGATCAGTGTAGGTTGTTATTGGATGATTATCACCCATGATACGGATGAAAGTTTTAAAAAGTCATTTGAACGAGTCCGTCATTTCCTCTGACAAGAATCCGACTCCAAATACAACATTCTGCCAATTATGGTTAACACCAACAATAAGAGCACAACATATGTTATATTTATTTAACCTATAGCTTGTATCAAATATAATCAGATATCCAAAGCAATTATAATCAAGCCTGGATGCCCAGTCGCTCCAAAAAAAACTCATCAGCATGCTGCTCACATCAGTTTCAAAATCCCATTCGAACATGTTATCATCGGCACGTCTCTCTACAAACAACTGCAATAAAAAATTCGCATCACCATTTTCAATTTTACATCTCTTCTCCCTCTGAATAAAATTGAAAGCATCTGTCTTTGTGAATTTCAGGTTCTCTACACCCCCAACTTCTTGGGCTAGGAAGTTAAAAGCGTCTTTTGGTCTAATCTCAGACTGTGTCATGGATCTAAGCACATATGCATTTACTTCACTTATCTTTCTATTGGAATGCAACAAGTGTTTGTCACCGGGGTTTGCTAATGAGTGGTTATGCGATTCAATTAATTTTTAACTGTCTAATTGCCTTCCTCATCAAATCCGTATCGGATCATTGCAGGGCAACCAATTATTGTTTCTGCTCTTCTATATTTAACAGTTTATGTAATCTTGAGCTCTTTCTTGAAACCTGCATTTCCACTTACAAAGTCCTTCATCTTGATATTTTTGGAGTTATTCCAAAACGTAGTGTGATCCTTACAAACACTGAATCCAATATGATGAACGTAAGCATAATATACTTCATAAACTTCTTTCTCATTGTGGACCAATGTTTGGAGTAATATGTTTGTTCTTTGCTCGGTACAACTAGCATTGCTCTCACCAAACTGCAATCGAGAGAATAAAATGTTAAACACAATGGAAAGCTCAAAAAGCATCCCTAAACTTCATAATGACACCTTAAAATAATAAAAAAAAACTAACCTAAAATCATACAACTCTAAAAAACATGCACCTCCAAATACTTTAATATTTTTATTTATCTACAAACATGCGCCTCCAAAAACTTGAGTTTAATGAAGGATATATTAATTACTTCAATGTTTATTTCACTATTTTTTATTAAATTTAATACCATGCAACTATGCAAACATAACACAACATACATACACTTCCAAAAAAAACAGATATATCATAAAGATAAGAAAACCATAACAACAAAAAACATTAAAGAAAACCCTAAAACTAATTATTATGATGTCATGCACTGCGTCGAACATAAACTGACACTCTCTATAGCCGTACTCCATCTTCAAGTTCAAGAGGTCGAAAAGCCCGAAGCTGCCACTGTAGGAGAAAATGGTCAGAGAACAATGAAACAATAAACCTAGCTGCTTAAATACCATGTTTCGCGCTCACTAATTTAAATAATGTACAGTGTAATTACATTCAGGGTACACACACGGTTGCAACTGAAGGGGCATAATCCTCTGTTACATGACAATTACAACATGGATACAATCTCTAATCTATGCGGTTACAAGTGCTGTTCCACTATACGAGCTTCAAAGTCTGTTATATGGCGAGCTTCAAAGTCTGTTATATGGCGGTTATAATCGAGTTACAACGATAGTACAAAAGCTACTTTCGCGGTGTTCAACGTTATAGGAAGGTTTCAGGCAAGTTACACCCGCGGAAGGTATAGTTGGGGTATATCACAGTTACAAGCGTGTTACATGACCTTGTATCGCGGAAGGTATAACTTGGGTATACTCCGGTTACAAGCGCGTTACATGACCCTGTACCGCGGAAGGTACATGACTAATATATTTCGGTTACAATCGGATCACTGCAGACCAACCGCGAGATATATGAAAGGGTATATCGGAGTTACAGATCAAGGTACAAACGAGTTATATAGAGAAATATTATATTTATTTAATACAGTGGACCCGTCGAAAATTATGTGACGTCTTCTGATTGGATATATCGCATGCAAATTTTTTCCCACATGCGGGGTAGGTGAACCTAGAGGAGGCTGTTTTTGATAAAACAAGGCGGGAGAAAAGCGAAACCCTAACCCGCTTTTCTAGATCCGAAGATAATTTCCACTCCATCGGAGCCACGCGATTTTTTACCTGCATGGCTCAGCTGCCGGCCCTTTCTTCAAGCTCCGTTTCTCAAATCTCCTCCCATGGAATCAAGAAATCCCGTATATATTCTCTTCTCCTTCTCCAAATTTCCCTGCCTTTTCAATTCGTCTTTATTAGTGTTTAGCGTTTGTTTTGTCGCTTTGGTTTGTTGCTTTTCTCGATTACGCGCATCGTTAGGTTCAAAAGTTAGTTTTTGCTATTTAGCAACACTTTTTGGTGCACATTTCATGAAGAATTTGTATTTATCACTTTGCCATTGCTTTTGTTCTGAGAACGTTTTTTTGGAACAGTTTTAACTCGTCTTTTGCAAACTGTGCGGTTTTTTTTTCATTAATTATTCTATTGGTTTAAGTTCCTCTGTGTGAGCCAAAAAAAAGGGGTTTTTACATATGAAAGTTTGGAATTTACATATTCAGCACCTCAAAATTCATATTTACATGCACAACATCCCTTACGTTAAGTCTGTTTTCTCATTGCACTCTTCTTTATGAGTTCCTGCATGCCGTCATCACCGAACTCAAGGAAGAAATGATCACATCCGAGATGGAGTCGCCGAAGTCCAACAAGTTCGGCGACTCCGCCTATGCCAAACTCAGCCCCTCGCTGAGATTTCCAGCCTCCTGCTAAGTTGCCGCGTCGAGTGGTACAAAGTCATTGACTTGTCGGATTCTGTTGAACATCGTCCTCTATACATTCTACACCTTTGGTGAGGGTGAAACATAAACAAACATGTTAGGGGATGTGAAAAGAAGCTTAAAATTTATAGAATAACTAATTTAAAAATCTATGATTAATCCAAAGTGCAGAATCTTAAGGGTTTGTTTGGGGCAGTTGCTGCGTAGCAGCTACCACAGGAAACTGCAGTGCAGAAATTGGCTGTCTTTTTTGTATTTTGAAAACAGTTGTGTTACAGCGGTTTCTGGACAAATAACTATTTTGTCCCTCAATAGTAACGTTATTTGCAATAGAACTGTTCATACCGGTATATTCTATACTTTAGAATATTACAAAATAATGATAGACGCATCACTTAATATTGAGTAGCATGACTACTAAAATTAAGAAAAAGACTATTAAAACAATAATTAGTAATATAACAATATTAATTTTAAAATGTAGACGACATATGTCACAAGCTAAGCCATCCTTCAAGGATATTCTCCATGCCCGATCACTCTCAGCGGTGGAATCTTCCAGCCAATCCACCCATAAAAATAGTCACAGTTTTTCATGATTCCCTTGGGCCCCTGTAAAACTCTCCCGTAACTATGTGGCTGATATGAAGTTAACAGGGAACTTTGAAGTCAACAAATGTAATGCAATCTTTTAGAGGTATCAAAAATACTTGAGCTAATCTTTCTTGAATGATTAAAAAATATATTTTTAGACATAACAAAAGTAAAACTTGATAACAGAAGCAATTATTTATAGTTTGATATAGTTGTAAGGTCTCAAAGAACCCAGTATATAAACCAACGAATCTGTCACTACAAGAAGACAACAGACCTTATAAAAAAAAGTTCTTGATTGTCTTTAACCCACAAAATACCAAGCTTATGTGTGTCACATATACATATCACCAAAAAAGGTTATCCAGAAAAATATCAAAAACCGTAGCACCAAAAAAAAAAAAGATGAATTCGATTGTCTTCTTTAGGATTCCACATGTGATATCAACCAATAGCAACATACATGTCATCCATAAAAACTCATAAGATCAAAAGTTTTATCATAGACCTCCAAAACATTGTTATCTTTGAATTTTCTAATAATATTTCATCAGTCTTCCTTGTTGAAATATGTTGCCGATATATTTCCCAGTTCAACCACCTTGAGGCAAATGTCGCAAAATATTAATAGTCTCTTTATCTCTCATTGCAGATGAACCAACATCTTTTGTCTTAACCATTATATTACTCTAATGAAAAAAACTAATTAACGTAAATAGGAATGCTAAAATATCCCAACTCAAATAAAAATAGGTGCCACAATAACCACCAATGCCCCTCCACATCATACTACAACACCACCTACACATCACCTCTCAAAACATCAAGGCACCAACACATCCACAACACCACCACTACCTCCACACACTAACATCTCCACACAAACACAACCACACACCAACCACCACCTCCACAATACCAACCACAACACTACCAACACATCCTCTAACACGAAAACAATCAAACACCAACCACTACCTCCGTAACACCACCACCTCTAAATATCTACCAGCACATCCTCTAGCACAAACACAATCACACACCAACCACAACCTCCACACATTCACCAACACATCCTCTAATACAAACACAACTACACACCAACCGCCACCTCCACAACACCACCCCTCCGCACACAAGCCAACGTATACCACCAGCAAACATCAAAGGTAAAAATAAAACCTCAGCCCATATTTTTCATTTGATGCAGTTACATACAGGGTACGTGAAACACTGCTATCAACAAATCGAGCACTCTCTTTTAGCCATTTGTTAAATTCTCACTCAAACATCAATGATAAAGATAAAACCCCATCATATTTTTTTCATTTGAGACTACTTTATACAGGACACCCAAAACATTGCTATCAAAAAATCAAGCACCCTCTTTCAGTTATTTCTCAAATTTTTACTCAAACATCGAAGGTAAACATAAACCCCCAACTCATATTTTCATTTGAGGATATTACATACAGACACCCGAAACATTGCTAACAACAAATCAAGCACAACCCTCTTTCATCCATTTTTCAAATTCTCACTCAAACATCATTGGTAAAGATAAAACCCAATTCCATATTTTTCATTTGATAATACTACATACCGGGCACCCGAAACATTGCTATCAAAAAATCATCTCAAAGTCTCACTCAAACATCAAAGGTAACGATAAAACCCCACCCATATTTTTCATTTGAGGATGCTACATGCAGGGCACCTGAAACGTTGCTAACAACAAATCAAGCATTCTTTTCAACTATTTCTCAAATTCTCATTCAAACATCAAAGGTACAGAAAACCCCATTCCATATTTTTCATTTGAGAATACTACATATAAGACACTCGAAACATTGCTATCAACAAATCAAGCACCCACCCTCTTTCAACCATATCTCAAATTCTCACTCAAACATCAAAGGTAAAGATAAAACCCAATCCTGTATTTTTCATTTTTAACAAATTCACAATGATTTGATTGTTACAATCATAAATGCATCGGTTTTGAGTGCTATGTATGTAAGAACATTGCTATCTACAAATCAATCACACTCTTTTATCCGGTTTTCAAACACTCACTCAAACATCGAAGGTAATGATAAAATCCCATCATATGTTTTTCATTTTTAACAAATTCACAATTGTTTGATTGTGGCAAGCGTAAATGCATTGGTTTTGGGCACCCTGTTTGTAATTTCCCACTATCTACAAATCAATCACACACTTTTATCCATTTTTCAAACTCTCACTCGAACATCGAAGGTAATGATAAAACCCCATCATATATTTTTCATTTTTAACAAATTCACAATTGTTTGATTGTGGCAAGCGTAAATGCATCATTTTTGGGTGCTCTACATGTAATTTACCCAAAACATTGCTTCCAAAACATTGCTATCAACAAATCAAACACACTATTTCATCCATTTTTGAAATTCTCACTCAAACATCGAAGGTAATGATAAAACCCCATATCATATTTTTCATTTAAAGCAATTACATATGGGGCACCCGAAACATTCTATCAACAAATCAAACACCCTTTTTCAGTCATATCTCAAATTCTCACTCAAAAATCAAACTTAAAGATAAAACCCTATTACATATCAAATTTAGCCACAAATTCGCAAAATCCAAATTCTTATTTCAAACTGCAAATGAGAAAGCCACAAATCGCAAAGTGAAAGTCATTCCATAAAAAAAAAAAAAAAAGTGACACCATAGGAGGACAGAGAGCACAGTAAACAGAGAGAGGGAGAACGAAGGGAAGAGAGAGTAGAGAGGCAACCTGCTGCTACCAAAGAACGGAGGGAAGAGGGAAAAGAGAGGCAAAACGTTGCCACCGAAGAGATGCGCAAAGAGGAGTAGTCGAGAGAGATGAGGACAGAAGCAACGTGAGAGTGGGAGCGAAGCGCGAGAGACTATTACAATAATAAGTTTGCGAGAAAACGCGGGTCGCGGGTTTTGACCGCATGGCTTGCGTTTAACATAGTTTTTTAAGAAAAGAGGCCCCGTTGCTATTTCCAAGCGCTTCATCCAGCGTTTTCAAAACGCGCCGCTCCAAATAAGCTGCCCTAAACATGCCCTAAACCTCATTTCTCCTCCTTTTAATCAACAAAGATAATGCTTAAATCACTTCTTTCGTCCACTTTACTTGAAATCTAGGGGAATTAGTAAGATGAAGCCTTCTCTTTGCCTGAAATCCAAGGAAATTAGGAAGATGAAGCACACAAAGACTGCATGTATGAGAAAGTGAGAGAAAAAAATGAGGGTTACTTACCTAGCTGAATGGTTTCGGGTTTGAGCAGGGCAGAAGTTGGGAGGGCTTTGTTCGTCGAGATCCCGCCGTTTCCTTCTCATATATTTCAGAACCCTGACAACTACTCGAGTCACTGGACGATGGCATCGATGGTGAGGGCACCTAGGTTGCGGCTCAAACATTGAAGATAGTGGGTGACAGAGAGCAAACCACAAGGATGAAAATTTAACCAAGAGTGCTTTTCGTGTAAATATGAAGTTTAAGATGCTGAATATGTAAATTCCAAACCTTTAGCTGCTATGTTAGCAATATGATGATTGATTCTTTTCCAAATTTTCCCATATTTTTTGTTTTTTTGAGAGAGGTTTCTATATTGTGTCTGCAGAGGGGCTCCAGAGCTGTGAAAGTAATTGCCTAAAAACACCCAACTTTTGCCAGAAGGTATCAGTTTGTATAAAATCCTCATTCCTTATGTTTATGTTTCTCAAAGCATTTCATGTTTTTAATTCTTTGCATTATGTTTTTATGTTGCCAGATACATTTTACATATAGTGGTCACTCATTCATTCAACACGTCTCATGCCAAAAATTGAACTCTCGTGTACGAGGTAAAGTAAGATTTTTTTTTTTTCGTTTCAATTCTCACTGCTCTTCCTGCTATTGAAACATTCTCCATTTCTTGGATGATTAGGAGGAACATTGCTAGAAAATGAACAAAAAAACGTGAAAGTAATGTTATCTCCAAATTGTTAGGATAATACTAATGATGACGTATGCTTCTGAGGAGAACTGTTAAATGTAGAACACTTGGTAATTTGCCTTCTTATGTATTTACATGTTTAACACCTAAACTATAACTTTTACATACATACCACCTTACATATACATGAAAAGATGCATTTCACTTTTGAAAAGATAAACTAGTTGTATTTTTCATGTGATATGAAAGATTTGGGTGGTTTAAATACAAAAAAATAAAGTTGAGATGCTATATATGTACATACATAGGAATTGGGTGTTATGTGTATAAATTCCCCTAATTTGTTACAATGTACTTGTTCTTCGAGACTTTAATTATTAAACTCCTTTGGTCTGATATGACAAGACCACGTAGCAGAGTCTTATTTAAATCATAATATTTATGTCATGATCTTGTATTTGTTTAGATTTCACTATATTTCAATTGAGTAGAGGTTTATCAATGTATGAGGCTTTAAATCTAAATCATGTATCGAATTTATATACATGTGGAAATTGTATTTAAGTGATTGCTCAATTTGTAATGTGATCCCGGTTGAATATAGTTGTGTAAAATTTATAAAGTTGACTCCGCTTTATAACGGTGCCAAAAACTTGATGTGATATTTTAATAATAATAACGTTAGGCTCTTAAGATTGAGATTCCACACAAATATATGTATCGTTATTAAAAAATATAAGACTTTCTGTTTAAGTCCCAAATATCAGTTCCACGGGAAATGTTTAAATTTGAAATGATAAATTAACTAGGAAATTTACAGAAATCAAACGAAATTATTCACTAATTTCAAATGTTTAAGATACTATCAAAGCTAAATTATTTACTACTAGCAAAATTTAAAAGCAGGTTTTAAAATTAATAACTACTAAACTATGTTTGTGTGATGAAATTTTCTAATATGAAAAAACATCTTTTCCACTACAATGAGTTTTTTGTGAAATGAGATTAGATAAATAGTTTAAATATGTATTATATCAAATATGAGCAATTTTAATTCTCTACCATGATTTAGTGTTATAGAAAGTCATTGACTAATCTTAGGTTCAGTCCTTAAATCCGTGGCTAGGCTAGGAGGATACTGACTCCCACTCCAGAACTCCCCCTTCTCTTCCCCCGCAGGCTTCTTTCTCAAAACAAATCATTTGTAGTCTCTCTTAGGAAATGTAGGAAGAAGATTTTCTCACTTTTATTTCTCTGCAACACTTCTTAGAGAAGAATTCACATTTAAACTCATCACAAAAACTCAAAACTATAAAAACAATAACTAACTAATGGTGTGGAATGACGTTGAATGTAGGTGTGTGAAGAGGAAAATTGAAAATGAGTGGAAGAAGTTGAAATTGTGTGAAGGGGAGTGTTTCTGTTCAAATATCGATCCTAAATAGAGCCTATGTCGGTTTT